TCGTGCCAGATTTCAGATTATATCCTAATAGGTTATCTTAGATAACATTTAGTTTTTCAAGAGCCGCATTTAGTTAAGAACTACGCAGCACGCCTTTGAAGGGTCCGCCAGAATGCAAGAAAGCAAAGTGAAAGCTGATGCTCAGGCGGAGACAGATACGCAGACAGAGAAAGAGACAGGGACAGGAACAGGAACAGGAACAAAGACGGACACTAAGCAAGAATAATGCGTTACATGGAACTGCACTAAGCACAACATTTTTGGCTGCCTTCGCAGGCGAATTCCTATTTTTTTTCGCTCCTTTTTTATGCGTCAGGCTGCATAGCAAAAAAAGACGCACAATGCGAGACAAAGTGACACAGCGGGGAGGGGCAGCGGGAACCCCCCCCCCCCCCCTCCCTCAAGTAGAGCTAGTTGAGTCAAAGAGTGGGTGGGTGGGGGGAGGGAGGTGCCTGGGCCTAATGGCGCCACTAGACAAATTACCGATGAGCAGCGGCTGCAGCTGGAGCCATCAGTCAGCGCTGGGACCAAAAACAACAACAGGACACGGGGGAGATGGAGATCCTTCGAAGGGGCCAAAACGGAGGCAAAAACATTTTGGGTCGACTAGCAAAAGGCTGAGAGAGAGCGAAAAGTATGCGAATGCGAATTCGTGTGGCCAAATGGAGCATATGCCATAACTAATTAGTCAAGCACTCCCGAGCAGGGCACAACAACAACAACAGCAACAACAACAACAACAACGAGAACAACAACAACAAGAATTGGGCAACAGGCGCCAATTAAATGCTTAAGCTGAGTTTCTGGTGAGCTTGTCATAAATTTTGACTGATTATGCGTATTCGTCTTTGTCGTGCACTCTCCCAAGGAGCCAGTCCCCTTTTCCCCTTTTGCCCCTTTCCCCTTGCCAGGTCACCCCCCTCCCCTACCCTCCCCTACCCTCGTGACAGTTGAAGGAAAATTTCAGCGCTTGCTGTGCTCCCCGCCTGTTTGTTGTGTCCCCCTCCCCCCTTTTTAAACCCCTACTCCTACGCCTGTGTCCAACGCAATTCATCATTCAATTAAATTGACCGCAGAGCCGCATTTCAAAGTTGTCTCGAGTTCGTCGACATCTTTGGGGCAGCGGGGCAGGGTGGGGAGGGGGCCAAGTCAAAGGCTTTCGAGTGGCCCGTTTTAAAGTTGGCCACGCCAAATCCTTTAATGCATTTTGCCGTTGCCATCGATTATCCTTTCAATAAACGCCATCCAAAAAAATCTCTGCACTCGAATCCTTGCATGCGATGGCTTTCGTCTTTTTGTGTAGCGTAAATCTGGCGCTTGATTTATGCTCTGGCTTAAAAGCCAATTGATGTGAGCGGAAAGGAGCTGCTAACTGGACGCATTTTGGATGGAGTCGGCTCCCACTGCTGCTGCTGCATCCTGCACGTACGCTTGCCACCCCCCACTCCGATCCCCTTTGGATTTCGGTTGCGTGGCGGCTTAAACGATTGTCAAAAATGCCGCGTGCAAGGATTGCAGACAGCCAGCCTGCCCCCCCTCTGCCCCTCGCATGCCCAATCATCTTGGAGCTTAGTATGCCAAGAGGCAGTTCCATGTGCAGCTCAGCTCAACTCGACTCTTGGCAATGTCAACAGCCAATATCCTGGCAAAGTGATTTATGTCATGTTCATGCATGGCATGCAAAATGCTGCCAGGACTAGCAACAGTGGCAACCGAAGGAGGCGCCTCCGATGTGACCTCTAATTGAGCAATGCAAATATTATGAAATTCAACAAATTCAACAGTTGCCAGCAAATGTTTACCCCCGTTTTTGAACAGTGTCTCTTTGAATCAAATGCGCACAAGCCCAAACGCCTTTGATTAATTAACACGCTCGAACTAAGCTGATAACAAAAAAGTGTAGCAAAAAAAAATAAATAAATATACGTATGAAAACCTACTGAAGCTCTAATAAACGAGCCCAACATCGAAATTGAGTTGTTTTCACGATTTTTTTTTGCTTGTTTATTTTGTGTGCACTGCCCCAAAATGGAGGGCCTGAGACTGAGACTGAGACCGAGACTGGGTTAAGCCATAAATAATCGATTTAAGCTAAGCTTGAAAATTTGATTAAACTTGAGAAAGATTTCTCCAGCATAAACAATACACTTTTCTATGTTTATTCTAGAGAATAAGACTCTAATATAATCCATTAATCGACTTCTTGAGATCTATTAACCATTCCGTAAATATTCAGAAGAATATATAGAACATAGAATGCAGAATATAGAATGTAGAATATAGAATGTAGAATATGGAATATTGAATGTAGAATATAGAATGTAGAATATAGTATATGGAATATAGAATATGGAATATAGAATGTAGAATGTAGAATGTAAACTGTAGAATGTACAATGTATAATGTAGAATGTAGAATGTAGAATGTAGAATGTAGAATGTAGAATATAGAATGTAGAATATAGAATATAGAATGAAGAATGTAGACAGTAGACTGTAGAATGTAGACTGTATAATGTAGAATGTAGAATGTAGAATTTAGAATTTAGAATGTAGAATATAGAATATAGATTAGAAAATATAGAAAATTGAAAATTGAAGACTGATGATCGAAGATTGAAGACTGAAGATTAAAGATAGAATATAGAAGATTGAAGATAGAAGACAGTATATAGAATATTTCTGCTTAGTTTAAGCTCAAATTCTGTTATAGAATTACAAATAATTTGATCTTGAGGTCTAATAAATGGAAGCATATATCTAAAATATAAAATTCCTAATATATTTTTTATATATACTTCCATTTATTTATTGTATATTTAAATCAGTTCTATGTAATTATATCATATACATATATATTATGCTCAGTCCATATAATAAGCAATCTTCAACTATTTGCTCTAAGTACAGACTAGTGGGAATTCACATGAATTTTCAGCAGTTGTCATTTTTGGACTCTGTTTGTCTTTGGGAGGCAGCTAGCTGCCAGATCTGAGAATTGTCTGTGATATTTTACAGATCTAAATGTATTTTACTGTATCACAGCCAGAGTCAGGGCACAGACATCTTCACAGACATCAATTTATTTCTTTGTATAGATTCGATTCGCCCCTCCCCCCTCGCCCCTTACCATGTTTATTTGTACTTCTTGTGGTTGGGTGCGAGGGGGGGAGGGGGGGGGGGGGAGGTATGTGATTTGAGTTTTTAATTAACGCCCCGAATTTGTTTGTTTGCGCGCTTGGACAGCTTGGAATTGAAAGAGAAGACCGAGTGTGGTGGCCAGAGTTCTTCTTCTTTTTTTTCGTTTTAGTTTTTTTGAGTGTGGGGGGGCGTGGTGCGCCTTTGAGTGCTGCTGCTGCTGCTGCGGGTTGCCATGGCAAGTTTCATTTTGAGAACATTCTTTGTTGGCTAATTCGGCATTTTGCATGCTGCACAAATATAAAATTCCGCCAAAAGCGCCCTGACAACAACTGCCCGGCACGGGAGGAGCAAAAACTAATAAGCGACTGGAGAGGCGGCACAGATGAGATATGAGGGCCGAGTGCGAGTGCGAGTGCGAGTGCCGGGGCGACAACAGGTGAGTGGGCGCAAAAGGACGCTTGACACGTGGCAGCCAGGCTGGCAGGCAGGCAGGCAGCCAGGAGCAACGAGCCCGTGCTACCGTCTTAGCCTTAGATGGCAGGACCCAAATGGCACGCGGCTCAATCTCTGTCATCCTCGGAGAGTTATGCTTTATACAAATTCCACAGTTGCCGCCCCCGAAGTTGACTTTTGGCAATAACTGTGCGCGGTTGCCAGTGCGACCGAATGCGTACTTGTGCGGGCGGAGGGGTGGGGTGGGGAGTGGACAGCGGTGGAAATATCGCCTATCGATAGGCGCCAGTCACAAGGCGCCAAAAACAATCGCCATCTATCGACTTTATAAGCAACAACAACAAATACAACAATTCGCCCCCCAATTGGTAGCCGCCCCTCACACAATGCTTACGTTTTTGTGGGCGGCGCCTGCATTACGCACAGCCGCACGCCTGTTGTCTCGCTCACAGCTGCGCGGCGCGGCGAGACAGAGCGAGACAACTAGCTGAGGCGCGTGCTGGCAGCGCTAAGATGGCAGCTGCACAGTAGCGCCGTCTCTGTTGCGCGCATAGCGCGAATGCGCACGCTGTGCAAATCAATGCGAAAGCTAAGCAGTCGGCAGATAGCAAAGCAGATAACGCGCGCCTTACCCGCTTTTCGCCTGTCGATTGTGTTTGGCAAGCCAGCAGCTATTGCATGCGCTGGCAGGGGCGAGGGGTGGGTGGTGGCGATTGAAATCATTGTCGTTGCCGTCGTCGCCGTCGTCGCTGCCACTGCGCAGCGTCACGTTAACGTTAACGTTATCATCATCGAGTCAATTCGTTTTGATTTTTTCGCATTTGTCTCAAATGCGAGCGAGTCGCTGGGCAAACGTAACGCGCTTCGTTTCGTTCCGCTGCGCTGCTGCACAGCAATATTTATGCTAGACGAGCCGTCGCTAAAATCAAAAGCCGGAAATAGCCAACACACACAACTACACACCGACACACCAATACACACTCACACTCACACACATGCATGGCCAAGTGCTCCCGCAGGCCAAACTAATTTGACTGTTGTTAGGCTCAATGAAATATTCAGACCGAATCGCAACAAAGTGCCAAAAATCGTGTGTGTGCTTCAATTGAGTGTTGGTAAACGCCAAATACTAAATACGTAAAATGCAGCTGCTAAAAATCAATTAAGTTCGCATAAACAACAACAACAAGAACTGACCGCAGTCTAGCAAATTGCGGTCTCTGTCTGTCGCCGGACCGGACCGGAGCGGACACAGTGTCCAGCTGTCAGTTGGTCAAACATTTCATCAATAAACGATACAACTTCCGTTACACTGCGTGCTGCTCACCTGCGACGCGTACGTCTACGTCTACGTGTGCGTGTATGTGTAACTGTTTGTGTAACTGTGTGTAACTGTGTGTGTGTTAATGTGCATGTGCGTGTCTCGTAAGCGGCAAGAAAACTTTTCAACTTCCGGCCAAGTGACTTCGATTTAATTTCTTTGGCTTTTTTATGGTCAAGCCATTTAATTAATTTTACTATGGCAATTTGAGCGTCTTGCCCCTTTTTGCCCACTGCGAACTCTGACCCCGGCGGCAAACTCCTGTGCCACATACGACGGGCTCCAAGGAAAGAGAAAAGGTGAGTCGAAAGGGAAATGAAGCCGAAAGTTGGGAAGCTAACAGGATTCAAGACAAGATTTTCATAAGTAAATCAAGTCAAAGTTCAGAAGGAATATTAACAAAAGTTCTACTAAACATATTCAAGTCATAATATATTGTATTGTTAAGAAATATAATTTCCATTATTTCGTAATGTGATTTCTCCACTTACAGAGTCAACATCATGATTGAAATGTAATTCGGTGCACAACAATTAACGTACTGTGATAAGAGGAGTATACGAGCAGATTCCTGGCGGGAATCGGCACAAGCAAACGGCACAAACGCAATTCAATTAAATTGAAATTCTAATTAAGATATCTACACGTTAATAATTTTGGCTGGCGAGCCCAAAGACAGGCAGCAAAGGCGACAAACTGTCGACTCTATCGATACGCAACTTCTCGGCAAGCATGCTGAACAATCTTGGGGCCAATGTGCTGGGTAAGTCAACTACATTCTAAAACGATTGACAGACAGAGAGAGAGAGAGAGAGAGAGAGAGAGAGAGAGAGAGGGGGGGTGGGGGTGTATAGGGTATAATATTGTAATTAAGATCGGGCAGTGAATTGCGCTAATATATAATAATATGTGCATTAATCTGTCCGCCTGGCCGATGGCCATAATTAAACTAATTTCTTGAGCATACGCTCTCTGCCATATATGATGTATTTATGTGCGAGTGTGTGCGAGTGTGTGTGCGAGTGTGTGTGTGTGTGTAGTTACTTCCGAGTTGAGGCCGGAGCCTCATCGATGCCGCTAAATGGCCTATAATTGAGGCGTCTAAACAGCTGGCGCCCCGTGTCGCGTGCATTTAGCAATAATTAAGTTGTATTTAACTAGCTAGCATTTTTTGCGCTCTTCTTCTTCATGCTGCTGCTGTGGGTGCATCTGTGTGTGTGTGTATCTGTGTGTGTGTGTGTGTGTGTTAATTGGCATAATTGCTCTCTTAAATATGCCGCAAATTGTAAATTACATTTGCATTTGGCTCCGGTTCACGCACATAATTATCAGTTTATATTGTGCACTCATAAATACTTGTACGTATATTTTTTAACCACATTGTTGATCATTTTTCAAGCACTTTCAATTTCGGCAATCAAATTTATAGCCTAGCCAGGCAACTGCAACTTGCAACTTGCAGCTGCAACTGCGATTCGCACTCGAATGAGTTATGTGCGCGCTTTTATTGAATATTTTGCGGCGCCACACTCGATCAAAGGGCAGGCGCCACGCCCACACTCTAGTTGCAGCCCCGTAATTAATTACATTTATTAATTTATTGCCCCTTTTGCAGCGCAGCTGCCAACTGGCAATGGCCAAGCCGTTGCGCCATACGCGGCGTATGCGCAATTTGTGTTATTGCCATAAAAGAATTATGGGCAAAATATTTGTATTTGCATCCAAAAATTGTCTCTAAATGCACAGAATATTCTATGCAATAAATAAATATGCATTTCAAAGTTATCTATTTGATGAAGCAGTTGCATTTGTTGATATAGTAAAAGTAATAACATCTTTCTAAAGGCAGGAATATATTTTTATATATATATTTAAGAGAGAGTTGTAAGAATTGTGAGAGTTCCAGTCTTAAAGTCGATGCAAAAATAGATTGCATTAGAAACGCATTCGCTACGCTTTTCAAGCTTTAGCAAAACTATAAATTTCAATAAGTTGTCATGCAGGCAAACGCGCCGAAAAATCCTTTTTGCACAACCAGCCAAATCCTGGCTGCGGCATGTCCTGCTAATAAATTTCATAAGCCTCGCCGCAACAAACAGAACAAAAAAGAAACTAAACAGTCGGAACTATGCGAAGCAACAGACGGCAACATTTGCATATTACGTATACGCTGCGTAGGCCCGCCCGAGCAAGGCAAAGTGAGGACTCAGGGGCGGAGCGGAGGGGGGGGGGGGGGGGGGGGGCGCCCAATTAAGCGCAATTTGCATGCAAAAGAAACGCGTTTTGTGGGCGAGCTTCATGCTGTTCATGCTCTCTCTAATGCCCATTCAACATTTGCAAATGAATGTCTGGCGCGAAAAACTTAAATCGTTCCGACTTAATGCCGGGCAGAGAGGGGAGGGGGAGGGGGAGGGGGAGGGGGTGGGGGAACAAACATTTGCTGTGTAGTCGACTCGGCATTTTTCGTGCCCGGATTAATTAAATTAATTTCACGATTGCATTTGTAATTTGGCTGCCAGAGCCAAGAGCGCGCTTTCGGGCCCTGTGCGTTGGCATTTTTGCGGTCGCTAGCGCCAGTGAAATATGTGCCCCCTCCCCCGCCCCGGCGCTCCTCCCCCTCGCGCCCATTGGCCGCCTTGGGGCAACATTTGCATCGAAATGTTTTGCGGCTGTTGCGGCTGCAGCAACTGTTGCTGCGGTCGCCCCAATCCATAGGCCTGCGCCCCGCCCCGCCTCGCCTGACCGCACAATTTCCAAATTTCAATAATTATGCGTACAGTGCATGCAACTGACGACTGCAACTGCAACTGCAACGGCAGCAGCAGCAGCAGCTAGTCCTTGCCGTCCATATATTTTGCGGCAGCTGCTGCCAAACTGATTTTGCGCAAATTGTGCAAATTGCTTGCGCGATAAATTCATGTTTGCCAATTTTAATTAATTAATCGCTTTGTGCGGTTTTCGTGCAACTCCACCAAGCAAAATGGCCGCCCGTTGGCAGTTGTACAACACGCCAACACACACACGCACACACACACACACACGCACACACACACAAACATAGAGTTATTTTGTGCGCTCTGCTTGTAATCAGTTGGGCGCCGCCATGTTTATTGTAGCTGCGGGCATTATACGGCATTCGACTAATGTCACAACGTTGCCATTCCAAATTAGAGACATCTATGATTGATTCCATGTCCAATTAGTCATCATTATGGCCAGAGATCCAACAGATAGATGCTCCATAGAGCTGTAACAGCCTGAAACAGAAGCTGGATCTTTATGCCCTAAAAGTCGGTTGCGTAGTAGAGAAAAAAGCAGGCTCTAATCCCCAGCTGACATTTGCTTGTTATGCTTAGTTTAGACAGGAATTTTAAATTATAAAATGAAATTAAAGTAAAGTGAGCGAAAGTTCAGTTAAGAAAAGTTAAGCTGGATTGTGCTTGTTGTGATTACTTAGCCCAAAGGCTAAGAAATCTGTGATATTTGAAAATCATGTGGAATACTCAGCACTACGATATACTCCCAATTCAAATATATAGACGAATTTTCTACAAAAAATGTGCTCGGAGTTAAAGCCTCTAGCTGGATTATGCTTGCAATGAGCGCTTAGCTATTATTCTTATATAAAGTGAATGTTTTAGAACTGTCACTTAAAAACATTAAATAAATAAATAAAGGAATGTTATAAATAAAATAGGTATACAAAAAAAGAAAGACGCAGTTCGAATTCCCAGCCAGATTAAGCTTGTTAAGATTTCCTTCTATGTCATGTGAATGGCTTCGCACTGTTACATGCTATCGTTATAAAGAAACTTAGTAAATGTTATTAAATTAAATAAAAAGTATAAAACAAAGAATGTTGAGGTTCGAATGCCAATAACATTTTTGCAAATTATACATAGTTTTTTGTTCATTTTAGATACTTCTATTACTCGAAGCTTTCATCACACAAGAGTAGTTATCGGTTTTGCTAGTTTTGACGCCTTTTCGTTGTTTATAATTCTCAAATGGTTATAGCTGCGGACTCAAGACAAGGCCTAGCAAATCAATCTAGCAACGATAGCAAAGTCTGCTGATGATAGATAGAACTTAAAATAGCTAAACAGACAACTTTTAAGGGTTTCTACATTGTTGTTGTTGACCTCAGACAGGCCAGTTCACAGTCTATATAGTTCTCTATATTATCGATAATCTATTTTCACATTCTGCTCACTTCATAATATTGACTAGCAGAGCAAATAGTTCAAATATATTCGAAGTACTGTGCTTTCTTCCGTTTAGCTTCTAGCTCGACTGCTACTAGTTGAAAAATATTTGTTTCGACTTGCAACAGCAAACATTTGGCCAGCAAGTGTCTGGAGCTCACACAGATTTACAGTTGCAGTTGCAGCCACTCGGCTTTGTTTTCTCGTATTTATGTGCCACAACTGTAAAAGCTGGCTGAAATTAAAGCTAGACCAAAGTGGCGCTATTTGGCCGGAGCCAGATCTCCATGGCCGCGCTCAGAGCAAGTCGCATAGCCGAAGGAAGCCGCACACTTGAATGCTAAAAGTCGCACTTCTTGGAGCAACGGCCCTGGCTCCAAGCTGAGCTCCAAGCTGAGCTGAGCTCCGAGCTGAGCTGAGCTCAGTTCGAGCGTAAACTGTTTGGCTTTGGGAGCTGCAGATAATATCGCACCTAACACCGCGCCTTAAATTTACTAATCACGACACTGGAGCAGCCATCAGTTGGCCATAAAGCTCGAAAGTTGGCTGCGTCTTGGCCCTGTTACAGTTGCAGTTGACCAACTGCTTTTAACTGTAAATGCTGCAAATGGTCAACAACTGGCAACTGGCACGGAAGCAGCTTTCAAGCTGTGCTTCGGCCGTGTTTTTTTTGTCTTTCTTCAATATTTGACAAACGTCAATGTTGCAAGTTGATGGGAGACTAAGCTGTGTGTGTGCGAGTGTGTGTGTGTGTGTGTGTGTGTGTGTGTGTCTGCGTCATGTAAGCGCTGTCGTGAGCATCGAGCGCGTCAAAAATCGCTAATGAACAGTAGCCGCGCTGGGTGTATGTGTAAAAATTAGCACTTGCTGGCAACGCTTTAAAACGCGACTGCACAACAACAACAACAACAACAAAAACTAAAGCAACAACAACAACAACAAACTGGAATAAGGGAATGTCGCTGCTTTAGTCTATGGCTAACACAGGCCGGCTACAACAACAACAACAACAACAACAACAACAACAACAACAACAACAGCAGCAACCACCAAAAGACTTTCCTGCTTTTTATACCCTGTAGCCATTTTAAGTAGATATAAGAAAGGGGCATATTGCAGTTGTGTATATGCATGGAACAGACAGAAAGAAACAGCTGCGCTATATACATAGATATACCAGATCAAGACGAGCTCATGTTTCTCTCTTTAATTGAACTCGGAGATTATAAAATTTATAAGTTTTTAAAACCAATATATTGATAATTTGCCCTGTTTTCACCAAGCTAAAAAATAACGATTTAAAGCTAAGCATTTTAGTTATTTATGAGATCTAGAGGATCTGACCGAACTCGGAGGCTATATCGATCATATATCGATTTGAAGCCAAGTCTTTTAGTTGCCTATAACATCTAGAGATCTGACCGAGCTGGAAGACTTTATCGAAAAATTGCCCAGTTTACCTAGAATCTTTAAATATCGCTTTTTAGCTACGACTGTTTGTCGTCTATGAGATCTAGAGATCTGACCAATTCAGAGACTGTGAAAGCTTCAAGTTTTTATACTTAAAAATCGATCATTTATCTAATTTTCTAAAAACCAATAAACATTGATATTAAGCCAAGTCTGTCGGCTGTTTTATCTAGATCTAGAGATTTGACCGAACTCGAAGACTATAAATGAAAAATCGATATAAACAATAAATATCGATATTTAGCCAAGTCTGTCTATCATCTATGACATCCGAAGACTTGCAAATCAATATATTAGTTTTAGTATATATCTTTTTATCAGTTTACATTGTTTGTCTGAAATTGATAAATATCAATTATCAGCACTTTGTAAAGATTTTAAGAGCTGGCCACGTTCGATTTGAAAGGTTCTCGTATACGCAGATTCACAATATTTCAGTTTTTGGAAGCTTACCGAACGTTCGCCCCTCAAAAACTGTTAACAAGTTAAGAATTTTTGGCCCGAGATCGACTTGAATTTGAGCATTTTTGAGATATGAAAGGCTTAAGTATGTTCCGCAGAGTATTCAATGATATCAGAATAAATTGCCGCTACCCTCAAAATGTGGCAAATATCTCTTTATGAGTGCTCGACATGATATTTGTATCCACACGCATTTGATTGCCCTCTTCAAGCCGTGAAAGTGTCATAACATTCCGAATTTATTGGAGATTGTGTTATGAAGAGACAAGAAGCATGTTTAAGTGTGGCATGTTTTCATAAACATGTTTACAAGGTAGCTGGCAGTCGTAGTCGTCTGCGATTAGAGCACTTGTTAATTTATGTGGCGCTGCACTCGTTGGACTTTTATGAGCTGCTCGGCTTCCAGCAGGGCAGCAGCAGCAGCAGCAGCAGCTTCCAGCTTTTCGACTCGATTGCCCGCTCCGCTGTGCCCCGCCTCGCACCTGTTGCTGCTGTTGCAGCGTCGGCTCGGAGCGCCTTTGTGAAGTTGCCGAAATTTTAACAAGTCCATTTGGAAAACAATAAAAATCATTGATGCTGCGCTCGCTCGCTCGCAGCCAACATCAAAGTCGGCTAATTGAAAGCAATTGGAATACCCTGCCATACCCTACCCTACCCTATCCTACCCTAGCCTAGCCTAGCCTGGCATATAATATGGACTGTGCCATTTGCATTTTGAAGGTTTCGCTTTCAACGGAAATTGCACACTTTTGCCTACGCCCACACCTTCACTCGATGCTGAATAACCTTTTGCTTTTGAGGCATACGCATAATTATATGAAAATCATGACAACATCACGAAAGAGTCGTGCCCAAAAGGTTATGCATGGAGACGAGAGTTCGCATCAACTGGCGATGAGTAAATGTTTGACTTGTAGCAGAGTTGAAATATCAAAAGATACACTCACACACACACACATGGCAAAAGAGTTGAGCTGTTGTTGCTGCCGTCCGTCTCTCACACATCTCTCACAGGCAGCGCCTCGCACATACATGTTAAAAATTCCAGACGGTACACGTTGAAGTTGAGGTCTCCGACTCGTCGACTCGTCGAGTCGACTCTGCCTCTATATATCCACCCCAGTGGGCTCTATTTGTATTTGCCTATGATTCGTGTTTTATTTTTTGTTTCTTTCGTGATATTTCCAACTACTGTGTTGTTGTTGTTGGGCAGGCCGAAAAAAACAGCGTTACGTAGTCAAGTGAGCTAAAGGTAAAAATGAAATAAAAGGGGTTACGCTCACAGCTCGCACATCTATCTAAGCCCATGTATCTGTGGCTATGTATCTGCAGCTATGTATGTATGTTTCTGTAACTGTGTATTTGTGTATCTGTATCTGTATCTGTCTCTCCGCATCGCACCTCAGTCGAGCTGCTGCTGTCGCCGACTCTGCGCCGTTTGTTACTGTTTTTGGCATCTTTTGAATGACAGGTTGTTGAAAAATTTAATTTATCCGATCGCCGCAGTTCGCTCCGAGCAATACATACAACCAGTCGAAACTCGCGACGGCAAAGCGCGCAAACGTTTAAACAAAAATATATATAAATAAAATAAAATTAAAGAGAAAAAAACACACACATTTAGTGTGCATTTTTAATTAATCACAGGCTTCAGTTAGGCGCTGCGCATAGATTTCACATAAATCAACAAAAATTCCGACGGCTTTTCAGCACTTTTACAGTGAGTGTCAATTGTGAGTGCACCTCTTGCGGTCACATTTCATTTACATTTAATTAGTGTAAACACCTACTACACACACACGCACACACGCAGTTTATCAATGACTTGACCAGCATTTCAATTAAATTATATATTTAATTTTAAATAAAAATATATAAAGTGCATTTGCTTTAATCTAAAGGATTTTCAGTTAGTTGTGAAGTTTAACTAAATCTAAAATAGTTTTGATTTAAAACAGTTCAAAAACAACAAAAAATATCGAAGTAAATAAACATTTATATACATATATATCGAAATAATAATAATAATATATAAATCAAATATTGTGACGAATAAATCGAACTTCTGAAATTATTAAAGTATATAAAGAAGTACACAGTCAATTCTCAATGAAAATCATATTTTAAAATAATATAATTATAATAAAATAAAAACAAATAATGGACCAATAATATAATATATAAAAATTGTTAAATAACTAATGACTGACAAATTTATTATTTAAATATATAAATAACTAATAACAGACCTACAATATTTCATAATATATAAAAATATTAAAGAGATAAAAAGAGGCTAGTTTATATTTAAATATAAAATAACTAATAAAAATCGGATATAAATAATAAATTAAATAAATTAAAAAACTAATAATAGGCCTAATTATTACATAAATATACACGAAATGTTTATGTGAATTTATTTAATCAAAATATAGTGAATAATAAAAACTTAATAATTGACCAAGTCATATTGGTATATATATATTTAATAGTTGGTCAATTTATTATATAATATATAAAAATAACAAACTACTATATAAATATTTAATATATATAAACTAATAATATTATTATATAAATACATAAAAATAAATAATAAAAACAAGTAATAATAGACAAATTTAAATATGTCAATTTAAATAAATATAAACAATATACTTATATGAATATAGTATATAGACAGACAACAAGATAATATGTTAAAAAACAAGAGCAGATTGTCTGCATAGTTATTTTAGGGACAACAGCAGACTTTACTAACAAGTTCGTCCTTCTAACTTCAATCTTAAACCTGTTGGGAATTGCAAGCGTGAGGCTTGGAAAGAAAGCAAAGCGAACAAAACAGACTCCTTTTTCTGTGTGTTTTAACCTGGGACAATAACTGTGCTAAAGAAAGAGATTTGTTTTGTAAATCTTTGTTTTCAGAGTGTGCTAAAACCCGCTAGTCGGTCAGCCTAAGATTCGTATTTATACTAAAACCAATAGTAAATATTTAGTCAACATAAAACCTGAAACATTTGCCAGCCAACTAATCTTTAGCTTTCCCTTTCTCTCTCTTACTCTCTCTCTCTCTGTGTGTCTCTCTCTCTCTCTCTGTCTCGCTGCGCAACAGGCCCCAAGGATTGTGATCTACCCAAGGCGGCAATTACAGCACTTCACGCGGGCGTCAATAGCTTTGGCCAGCTGCCCGTCGCTCCGAACATTGCGGATCTTGGCGGCGGTGGAGCCGGACCCGGCGGCGGCGGTGGTGCGGCGAGCATTGGCGGAGTGGCCCGACTGCATGTGACTGGGGGACTGTGCGACAATAGCAATGCGCTGAATGTTGCCAGCGGACACAGCAGCAACAACAACAACAACAGCAACAACAACAACAACAGCAACAACAGCAATAGCAACAACAACAACATGCAGCAGCAGGATCAGGTGAGCATGCGCTGTGAGAGACTACGCTCTCTCTGTCTAGCGAGAGGGAGAGAGAGTCTCCCTCTCTCTCTCGCTCTCGCAGTCTTCTAGCAGCAAGTAAAAGCTGAATTTTTAATAATCCATGTTCTTTTCGATGTATTTTTTTTCCTCAAAAAACTCTGCTATGCATAAAAAACCAATTCGAACCAAAAACTGATTTGCCAAACAAAATAAACGAAAAACCAAAAAAATCAAAATATAATATGTGAATGTGTAAATTGTGTGTGTATAAAAATAATTATGTGCAATGAATATAAAAAGTAAGTGTGATTTTATTTCCATATGTAATTTATGTAAAGCAAAAAGAAACCAAAAAAAAAAAAAGAAATGCAAAAATTAACTAATTTAGTTGCTACGTTTAGTTTATTGTCTTTAATTGTAGTCTTAGTGCTAGTTATCAATGTAGCTACTCTTGTTCTAGTTCTTCTTCTTGTTCATGTTCATGTTCACGTAATTGTTGTTGTATTTGTAAATTAGCCGCTGCCAAGGCTGTCGACACTCAAGCCGGGCTCCCGCCCGTTCTCTGCGCCCTCTCTTCTTCTTGCAGCACCTGGACAAAAACAAGCAGAAAAGGCACCGGACACGCTTCACGCCCGCCCAGCTGAACGAGCTGGAGCGCTGCTTCTCCAAGACCCACTATCCGGATATATTTATGCGCGAGGAGATTGCCATGCGCATTGGCCTCACCGAGTCACGTGTCCAGGTGAGTCAGACCCTGCCCCTGCCCCTATACTCTCAACCAACTGCATGTTGTCGCTAAACTTTGTGCGGCTTTGTTGCGGTCGCCGCGTCTCGCATTTGACTTTCAGTTAGCGCCATTGACAGTTGCCCGCCTGTCAGCTTGACACTTAACGTTTAGTTTAACATGACAAATGCAAAACCGCAGCCGCTTGCAACGACCAAACCAAATGCAGTCGCGGTTTGAACTCAGCCAAGTCGACTTTTTGCGGGTTTTATGCCAAATGCTTCTAACTTGAAAATCTTTGAAAAGCATCAGTTGAAACTATTAGCCTAAGGATCACACTACGTATTCCTTTGTTGCCTCAATATATCAAGGGAATCGGTTGCGATATTTCCGTTGAATAAAAACTTAAAGCATGAGTAGAAAAACGACCAAGTTCTCAATTACAGAATGAGTACTATGTTAAAACAATGTTGCCTGATTATAAGAATGCTTAACAGCTGTTAATATTTTAACAGAACTGCTTAGAGCTTTTACTTTAACATAGACTTAAATTGTCATTTACATATTTTAATAAGAAATTAATTCGAATGCGAAACGTTACCCATCAAATATTTGAATCCTATTTATATGAAGAAGAGATGCATTTTCCAAATTGTGTAAGATACCCCTCAAATCAATTTGAACAAAGATCTTTGAACATGAGTTTGAGGACGTAAACAAATAAGTTTCATACAGTCGTTTTACGCGCTTTTTCCATACTTGCGAGTGGAATATACCGAAACCCCGTCTACTGTGAAAATTTCAGCTTCGTAGCTCTAGCTGTATGGTCAGTGCGTCAGTCAATCAGTCAGTCAGTCAGTCAATCAGTCATTTAGTCAGTCAGTCAGTCAGGACAAACAGTTTTATATAAAGAGATAACTTTGGAGTTGTACAAAAAATTTGGATTTAAAATTCTTTTATGCCCAATCTGTTAGTGTAGCCTTTACTTGAGCTAGAAGGAAACATCTGGCTAAAGAGTTTCTCTGGCCAGCTCAGATCGACGGGAAGTATTGATTCCCTCTATAAGGCAACTGTTGCTTACTTGGGGAGCTAACTTATATAGAGCTCTCTTTAATTTATTTGTATTATTATCTGTTAATATTATTATTAACTGAAATCTGTTTTACTTTTTCTATCAAATATATATACTCAAATTATTTCTATTTCATTGCCTTTCATATCTGTCCAGCTACTTTCTGATAGTTTGCACACATTCCACACTTATATAGTATTCCTAATTAGATCATAAACTATTTATTTTGTTTGCTTAGCAAACAATTAGCAAGTAAATATACGAAACGGATTCAAAATTATTAAACCTTTTGTAGAACAAACAGCGAGCTGCAAAGATTTTGATCTGCCTCGAACTGGGGCACAAGTCGAACTAATAAAAGTTTATCAAAATAATATAATATATAAAATTAGATAAATAATAATATATATAATATTAGAGCTTAGTTTTCCCATGCTTACTAGAAAATCTTATTTTTAACTATTTTCCTTTGGGAAATTTAGGCTTGGGCTTATTTATGAAGTCTTTTACACATTTCCCTCTCTGATCTTTGTCGCATTTTCTGTCTTGTTTTCCTTTTTTCTCTCTGTTTGTTTATGTTTCCTTTTTTTTCAAATGTGAATTTTTGCTGGCTGGCGCGCTTTAATTCACAATTTCCGCAACTTTATGAGCATTTTGGCTGCACTCGCGGCCGCTCAGCGCCATTTAAGCGCCCAAAAATTATACTTTATTAAAGCACATAAAGTCACATTTAGACGAGTCTCCCCCTCGCCCCCGCCCCGCATGACCCTGCTGCTGCTGCTGCTCCTGCTGCTCCTGCTGCTCCTGCTGCTGCTCTCTGTGCGACTTATGACTGCCGCAGCCAGCACAAAAAGTTTGCCAAGCCAACACACGCACACACACACACACACACACACACACACATACACACACATATACATATATATATATATATACAGACAGCTACAGTAAGCATTATCCTTTTGCGGCTGGCGCAGCTCCCTAGCCATTGTTGTTGTTGTTGCTGTTGTTGTTGTTGTTGTTGTCTCTGCCATTATCCTGGCCGCTGGCTGCCTGTGGCGTGCGCCTTGTCCTTTTGCATGCGGGCGGGTTTTGTTTATGCGACAATCGAATTTACTGCTTCATTAAATTTGTGTTTAAGCTTCCGCTTCCTGCAGTGCCACTACCCCCAACCCCCCCTCCCCCACCCTCTCTCTCTCTCTCTCTCTCTGGCTGTCTCTGTGCAAAACTATGCAGCTGGCGAATTGTTTTGCGGTTTCTATGAATGCCAAAAGTTGGCCCAGCATTTGCGTCTTATTGGCCCATTCAACGGGTGCTCGGGCAGCTCCCCCCTTTCCTCCCTCCCTCCCTCGCCGCTGGCTAAACAATTAGTTGGCTGGCCATGCCCACAGCCGCCCCCTTTTTTTTCGCGCCAGCCTAACGGATGTGCTACTTTGATAAATTGTTTTAATAATTGCGTATCAGTGTCTGGCTGTTAATGTATCCTGCTCATCCGGCTGACGGAACGATCCGGGGTCCACTCTGACTGAGGGGGTGGCACGTAGGGGGAGGGGGGAGGGGTTTGCTGCTGCTGCCTATGCTATTAACACGCTATAATGTTTGATTTTTCGTTTGTCGTTGGCTTTTGCGGCTTATGGAATGTCAGCCCTTTGGATTAGCAGGGACTTATTGTGGCTGCCTCTGCTGCTGCCTCTGCCACTGCCTCTGCTGCTGCTGCCTCTGCCACTGCCACTGTTAATAAAATTAGCATATAAATTAAGTTTGCATGCTGTTTTGCCTGCCCGAGCCACTGTGTGCTGCCGGCCGGATTGCCTGCTGACACACATATTACATATTTATAAGCACATTTTATTTGAAAACTCCACAAATGTGTAAGAGGCTGCGCGCCACGCCTACGTGCACTAGAAAATTTGCCGCCCATTTGATATGCACACACACGTCTCTGGCCCTAAATCAATCTACAAGGATTTGCAGCTAATGACGGCATAAAGACAGCCCCAAGCCGTCAGCCCCTAAATGCGCACCCCCTCCCCACAACAGCAAAAAAAAAGGTTTGCGTCTTAAGACGAAAATCAAGTCAGGCCAAAGTGTGTAGTGTGTGTGTGTGTGTGTGTGTGTGTGTGTGTGTGTGTGTGTGTGTGTGACTGTCTGTTGGCTGCATAAGTTATGAAGCTCACGTAGCTGAACTACGTGGCCAAATACAGGATATAGGATACGAAATATGAGCTGCTTAATTATGCAGGCTGCAACAGAAAATACATATATACATATATAGAAAATAATATAATTTAATAAACTACAAGTAACTGTAGGAAAGCTAGTAACAAGTGCTCTAGTTGGCAGTGCTCGACTAGAAGACACCATCTTCCCCTCCCTTAGGCCCTTACTATGGCTAACACATTCTTTAATAACTTCGGTGTTCATAGTCCGATCTTTATGAAAATTTGCGGGAGTAAATAGAGCGACAAAATGTGGGCATATACCAAAGGGCGTAGCTCGAACTTAAAGAAGCGCGTACTTATCAATTTGGGCAGAAATGGAGTAGAGCATATAAAAAAGAAATATTTTTAATCTGTGCATGATATAAAAGAACCTCCATATCTTGTTTGCTGTAGCTCGCCCTGCTTATCTTCAAGTTATGCTTAAATAACCAAAACCTCAAAATCGATATTTATCGATATCGTAAAAATAGAGGGTGATATCGAGAAAGAAAATGATGGACTCTTTCTGCTTATGCTAATGGAGAATATGTATTACAAATTTCCAGTCTCTACCTTGAGTAGTTTTCCTGAGATCGGGACATGGCTAGAGATGTGGCCAAATAGATCAATTCGATATCGATTTATATCGATTTCGTTTAATTCCCGATTTACTATCTTTACCCATTTACAAAGGGTCAACAAATCTCAGCAGAGCATTAACAAATGTAATCGCATAATACGATAGAGATAGAATGGGAGAGAGAGTGAGAGTGAGAGGGGGAGTGAGGGGTTGGGGGTAAGGTCGTCAGCCAGCGGGTGGTGCAATTGTTAATTTGTGTGTGTTTTACGCACCGTAACACAGCTAGAAATGAACAATTTGCGTGGTGCATTAATGTTAAGCGTCTTAGGCACCGCCCGTGGCTAGGCAATATGCTTGTCACACTCGCAGGACGACTGCAGCTGGCAAGGACACGTGAGCAGGAAAAGGAGTAGGAGAAGGAGGCCAAATTGACTTATCATGATTTTACAGTGTGTGGCCGTTGTCAAAGCATTGTGTTATGGCTCAGCTCGGAATGTTTTGCGTTTATTGGTTTGTTTATTAAATTGTTGCAACGTGGCCCAGCAGCAGCACGTGCCACACAGAACAGACCACGGCACTGAGAACCAAATGAATTTCTCACATGATTAATTTGCCTGGCAACTACAAAGGGCGGGGGGCGGGGCAGGGGCCAGGTCGAAGGTCCGAGGCATGTTGCTAAGCAGACGAGGCATGCAGCACGGCAAGTGGCAAGTGGAAGAGGCACTTGCACACAGACATTCGGCATCGAGCTGATTTGTCGAGTGGCACAACTTGGGCAAACTTTTCCAGTTAATCAGCCACTAAAAATTGTTTAAATTCATAAATTGTGTTTGCTTAGTTTGAAGAGTTTGGTTGGCAGAGAGTTGAACAGAATTTCTCTAACTGAAAATTCACAACTTGAAAGGTTGAAATTTCTTCGAAGTTTGCGAGAGTCCTGTCTAATGTTTAGTTGTTCCCTATAAGTCCATGTTTCAATTTCCAAGAATAGCTCTCAGAGAACATTTTCAATAGATGGAACCAGAGAAGTTTCAGCATTAAGAGCAGATATATTTGACCCAATAAAGTAAATACATATATCCTTGATTAATAACAAGAACTTTGTCCAAGTCTTGGACGTCTTTTTCTTGTAATCAAAGACTTCAACTCAATTCTTTTAATCATTCAC